CAAATTCAAATTCCAGAAGCTGCTGTTGCGGCCGGGCTGCTGAGGTGTACAGACAGCTCGCGGGTTTGCTGCTGCCGACTCGTTCTCTTCGTCTGGAAACGCCGAAAGCGGCGAAAATTGGAGAAATAAAATTAAAAGTAAATTTAATTTAAATGGGGAAAAGAAAAACGAATTAATTTGAGCTTTGCGGCGCCTTGAGTGCTGAGGTGTACATACACCTCAACTGCCGCCTTCGTCGCAGTCGTCTGCGGCGGCCGCCGCCGCCTCCGCAGCCGCCAAATTAATCTTTTTTTTGTTTTTAAAGTTTTATTTAATTGTTTTTATTCATTATTTAATGTTAAGCAATTAATTTCAAGAAAAGAAGGCCTCCGCAGCGCCGAACGCGACCCGCTTGGAGGCGGCCTGAGACTCATCCTGAACTTCCCAAACCCTAAACCCTGGGCCCCAAACCCTAAACCCTAAACCCTAAACCCTCGACAGAGGCCCCTGCAGCTCAACGCTGCTGAGTTTCTGCCTCTGTCGGCCCTCGCGGGGCTCCTTCTCCGGGGACCGCCGCCCGTCGCCAAACCGCCAATCTAGGGTTTAGGGTTTAGGGTTTAGGGTTTCTGCTCCCATGTCCCTCTTCACCGGCTGCAAGTCCCTCGTCTCAGATGAAAGCACAGAGTTTGTTGTCGCTGGCAGGGGCCCCCTGAGGCTGGGGGGCCCCCCTGGAGAGGGTACTGGGGGCCCCCTGGGGTCTCAGCTGCGCAGCAGCAGCTCAGAGGGGCCCCCGGGGGCCCCCGGGGCCCCCGGGGCCCCCGGGGGCCCCCGGGGGGCCCCCAGGGGCCCCCACGCCGCTCTGGACCCTCAGAAGATTGGGAGGGTTTTGACGGTGGCGGTTTCGGAGCTTGGGGAGCACGTGAAGTCAAGTCCGCAAACCCTAAACCCTAAACCCTAAACCCTAAACCCTAAACCCTGTGCGGCAGCAACGAAACCCTGGGCCCCCGTCGCCGCTGCGCGCGCTCCAGCAGCGCATGCTTAGAGAGGCACCTCGGCCCCTGCGTTCCCCAGGGTTTAGGGTTTAGGGTTTAGGGTTTAGGGTTTAGGGTTTAGGGTTTAGGGTTTGGTGTGCAGGCGGGGAGCTGCTGTGGCGGTCTGCCGTGTCTGCTGCTGGCCACGCGCTGTCTTCCGCCCCGCATGCACTTCCTGGGATCGTGTCTTTGGGATCGATCCCATCGATCCCATCGATCCCATCGATCCCATCGATCCCATCGATCCCATCGATCCCATCGATCCCCGGAGCGTTGCTGCCTCCTTCTCCGTGTGCTGCTGCTGCTGCGGGCGCTGCTGCGGCGGGCGACCCTGCTGCAGCAGCAGCAGCAGCAGCAGCGGGGCCCACAGCAGCAGCAGCAGCAGCAGCAGCAGCAGCAGCAGCAACTAGAGTGTGGGGAGATGGCAACTTTTGTCTTTCTGTTAAAGAGACAAAAGGGGGAGGAGCAGCAAGAGGCAATTTGGTGGCTTTGGCGCTCGCAGCTGATGGTAATTAAATTAAATTAATTTAATTAATTTAATTAAATTAATTAAATTAATTAAATTAAATTAATTAAATTAATTAAATTAATTAATTTAATTTATAATTGGAAAAATAATTAAATTTTAATTTCAACAAACGCCGCCAAGCAGCAAAACGGAACGTCCGGCGCAAACAGCAGCGCCGCAGAAGCGCAGGCTGAGACGCAGGGTTTAGGGTTTAGGGTTTAGGGTTTAGGGTTTAGGGTTTAGGGTTTAGGGTTTAGGGTTTGTGCAGAAAACGGAAACCCCACTCTGGACGTGACCCCTGAGTGTCACTTCACTTGGAGCCGAATTAAGGCGTCGGGGGTTTCGACTCCGGTGGAGTGCATTACTGGCAAGTGAGCTAGGGTTTAGGGTTTAGGGTTTAGGGTTTAGGGTTTAGGGTTTAGGGTTTAGGGTTTGGCCTCGAGCCGAGGACCTGTTCGTTGTCCTGCTGCTCGCGGCCAGCCTGCGCGCGGCTCCAGTGGCTGCGGGGGTCTGAAGGGCCCAGCTAGGGTTTAGGGTTTAGGGTTTAGGGTTTAGGGTTTAGGGTTTAGGGTTTGGGGTTTGGCGCAGCGTGTACCCAGTGACTGCGGAGGACATTGGCGGCTACGTGGAGGTTTGCGCAGCCCCCAAAACCCTCGAGGGTTTACAGGGGAAGCAGCAAGCAGCAATAGGGCCTTTTCAAATAAGTTTTTCTTTGAAGGGTTTGCTGCAGTCCGCAGTGGCTAGCGGCGGCTCCGCCTTTCCCTGCAGCCTGTGCGCGAGGGTTTAGGGTTTAGGGTTTAGGGTTTGGGGTTTGGGGCGCAGGGTTTGGGGTTTAGGGTTTAGGGTTTAGGGTTTGTGCGTGGCGCAGCGGCTGCAAGGGCAACACGGGCTCCTGCGCTCGCCGCAGGACGGCCAGCAAGGTTTAGGGTTTAGGGTTTAGGGTTTAGGGTTTAGGGCGGAGGGAGTGCGGGAAACCTTCTCCTGCGCCTATTCGAAAGGGTTTAGGGTTTAGGGTTTAGGGTTTAGGGTTTAGGGTGTGCTCAGGGCGTCTTCTGCTGAGGGTTTGGGAAGCCCCAACGGGACGGAGGTTTTGGTGAAGGTCAACGCGGAGAAGGTCACCGTCACTGTGCCGCGTAAACCCTAAACCCTAAACCCTAAACCCTAGTTCCACACTCCAAACCTTAAGCCCTAAACCCTAATCCCAGACCCTCGACGAGCTAAGGCAAAAGGCTCTTAAGTTTTCTTCGCAGGCCAGAGAAACTCAATTAAGCGGAAAATCCGCGTCCGCTGGCTTAGGGTTTAGGGTTTAGGGTTTAGGGTTTAGGGTTTAGGGTTTAGGGTTTAGGGTTTGGGGGTTTGCTGCAGAGGAAGAAGGGCAAGATAATGACAGCAAGCGCGAGCTGGAGTGTACGTACACCTCAAGCCTGCCTATAATTGAGCTCGACCCCACATCTTCCACGCTCTTCCGAGTGAGGGTTTAGGGTTTAGGGTTTAGGGTTTAGGGTTTAGGGTTTAGGGTCACTTGCCCAATATTTGTTAAATTTGTGGCCCTTTTGGGCCCCCACCAAACATCCGACCCAATCAAGCAACTAATTAAATAAAAAGAATAAATAAATAAATAAAAATAAATAAAGAAATAAAAATAAATAAATAAATAAATAAATAAATTAAAAATAAATAAATAAATAAATAAATAAATAAATAAGATGAAAGCAGTAAAAGTAGTAAAGAAAAGCAAAAGAGATTCAGCCAGCCAAAAAGACAGCCGGCCAGGCAGAGAAGCTGCAGCGCAAAAGCCAGTTGCCTCTGTGCTGCTGCTGCTGCTGCTGCTGCTGCTGCTGCTGCTGCTGCTGCTGCTGCAGCTGCAGCTGGGCGTGTCTCGCTCGCAGCAGCTGCTGCTGTCTGCTGCTTCTCGAGGAGACCGGGATTTTCTTTTTGCACTTTTGCGCTGCTTCCAATGTCGAGAGTTTGTCTCCACTTCTTTCATTTTGGACAGACTTCTCGGAAGACTGCCCTCCGAAGGTAGGGTTTAGGGTTTAGGGTTTAGGGTTTAGGGTTTGGGGTTTGGGGTTTGGGGTTTGGGGTTTGCGGTGCGGCTGGGCGCAGGCTGCGCGGCACCTGCGGGGTCTAGAAGCTTGCTTCTAGGGATTACGGCCTAGGGTTTAGGGTTTAGGGTTTGTGGTTTAGGGTTTAGGGTTTGGGGTTTAGGGTTTAGGGTTTGGCAGGGGCAGCTGCAGCAACACGGGGGAAGTTAAAGAGTACATGGAGGCGCAGCAGATGCCGGCTGCATCAAGGCCACAAACAGCAGCAGCAGCAGCAGCAGCAGCAGCAGCAGCAGCAGCACTATCAGCAGCAACAGCAGCTGCAGCAGAAGCACCACGAGCAGCAACAGCAGTGGAAGCAGCAGCAGCAGCAGCAGCAGCAGCAGCAGCAGCAGGCTTCTTTGCTGCGCTTGCGAGCAGACCCGTCCGGACTTGTTGCTGCAGTGGAAGAGACAGACGCGCGTTTGAGTCTTTTCTTCAACATCAGTTTGCTGCTGCAGGTGGGCCCCTTCTGCCTAGGGTTTAGGGTTTAGGGTTTAGGGTTTAGGGTTTAGGGTTTGTCGGGGCCAGGGCCGAGGGTTTGGGGCTTGGAATGTACGGCTCACGACACCCACGGGCTCTGGCCTGGGGCTGCGGCCTTCGGGTTTTGCGTTAAGGACCCCCTAGGGTTTAGGGTTTAGGGTTTAGGGTTTAGGGTTTAGGGTTTAGGGTTTAGGGTTTGCAGGAGCTGCACCGGGCCCAGGGGCTGAACGCGCGGCTGTCTCGAGACTTCGCGAGAGCAGCAAAAGAAAAGGAGCAGCTGGAAGAAGAGATGAGACACACAATTAGGGCTTTTCAGCTGCAGCTAGACAGTAAACCCTAAACCCTAAACCCTAAACCCTAAACCCTAAACCCTAAACCCTAAGCGCTGAAGCCTCAGCCCTAAACCCTGTGCTCTGTTGGGCTGCAACACTCAGCGTGCGTCTGCTCGTGTCGCCAGCGGAGCCAGCAGCTCGTGCTGCTGCTGCTGCTGCTGCTGCTGCTGTTGCTGCTGCTGCTGCTGCTGCTGTTGCTGCTGCTGCCCTCTTAAAGTTTCTTGCCTCGGTGTTTCTGCTGCTTCAGACGCCCTGCAGCAGAGCAGCAGCAGCAGCAGCAGCAGCGAGATTGAGGCTACGCGCTCGCAGCTCGAAGAAGCAGCAGCAGCAAATGCAGCACTGCGGGAAGAGGTGCAGCAGCTGCAGCAGCAGCTGCAGCAGCAGCAGCAGCAAAGAAACCCTGACAAAGGCGCTTCAGCAGAGGCAAGGCTTTCTAAACCCTAAAACCTAAACGCTGAACCCCCAGTGGTTTGGACACGCGACCGCCCTTTAGGGTTTAGGGTTTAGGGTTTAGGGTTTAGGGTTTAGGGTTTAGGGTTTTTGGACAGGCTCAGGATGATCATGTGCAGCAGCTGCTGCAGCGCAA